ATTTAAAATTTAAAAATTTATTTTATTAAATATTAATATTAAGATTTAAAAAATACTTATATTAAAATATATAATCAAATTTTAAATTTATGTATCAATAGTTAATAGAATAAATTTTTAAATTTTAAATTAAAATTTTAATTTTCAGATATGAATTAAAATTTTAATTTTTTTAAAAATTAAAATAAATATACAGTAATCTCAAAACACAATAATAAGTACTTCTTACTGTGAGATTTATTATGATGTACATTTTGGTTTCCCTTACGCCAAGAAACTATATATTAAATTCGGCCCAGAGAATTAGTATGGCAAACCTGCAACAATGCCTTCTATTTAACACGATTCAATACGAAACTCCAGCCCCAACAATTAATGTCAAAGAACCAAAAAAAACTCACGCAATAAATTTTTATCTTAATACCATCTTTAACGCAAAGCCATAAATTTTACAATCTTGATTCTCATTTTTGTTGCTTACTTTCTTCCCATAAAAGACTGCCCTTTCCCAATCCAAGAAGATTATATATCACTATTTTCACAATCTGCTTGATGGAATTCACTTTCTTGGAAAATTTTTCCAGATTTTGTAAAATCCTCGCCATTTGATTGCCTTCCTTGTTTTTGTTTTCTTGTTATTTTAGTGAAATTGATCCATAAATTTCGTTGATTTATACAGCGTAGGTATTCTGTCACTCCCCGGCCGCTGTTTCTGTGAAAAAAGAGTAAACCCTCCCCTCCTGAAAACCCATAGAAATGCCTAGGAAATCCCTCCGAAAATACCTCTCCAAGATCAAAAGATCCTCTCCAAATTTGCCTCTTCCCTCCTCTAAAAGATGGGTCCTCTCCGGATGCAAGCACCCCAGAACGCCGTCATTTGCAGTCGACAATACCCGAAATGAGCATGGTGGCGGCAGCGGTAGTGAGGAGGCAGCGGCGGCCACTCTCGCCGACATTGACCGCTTCCTCTTAGAGAATTTTAAGTCACTTTATATTAAAGACGAGGAGCAGAATGAAAAGGGTAAGGGCCGAGGGACTGGTATTGGGCCGGATCAAACGAAAAGCCCACGAGAGATTTGGTTCGACTCGCCTAGGTTGGTCGACCCACCGCCATGCCTCCGAGGGTCCAACCGGTTTTTCGCGGCTCCAGGCGTGACTGCCTCTCTCATAGAGGAGGCAGGGACCAGCCTGCCGTGCACCAGCACCAGCGAGGATCACGTTGGCTCAAGCTCCACCTCCGCTGATGTTACCCTTTATAAAAACTACTCTTGTACCTCTCCTAGCACAAATGATGAGCCGGCCGCACTCCCTAAGGAGTGCATCGCCGTGTTGACGAACTCTCCGGATCCATACGTCGACTTCAGCCGATCAATGCAGGAAATGGTAGAGACGCGGCTGCAGCATCACGGGAGGCTTGATTGGGACTACATGGAAGAGCTCCTGTTTTGTTACTTGAACTTGAATGATAAGAAGGCTTACAGGTACATTCTGAGTGCTTACACAGATCTGGTGGCGGCTCTCCGTCAAAGGGAACGGAGAGCTCCGGTGAGATCACGAAGAACTCGAAAATCGAAGGAGGGAAGAAGGAAAATTACGAGGCGTGAAGATTTGACCCCACCAAGGGCGGACTAAGATACCTTTTCCCCGACCGGAGTCTTAATTTTTTTATTTTGTGTTCATTCACTTTTGCCCTCGAATTGTAGTGTGCATTTTGCTATGTTTAATATATAAATAAGTGAATGATTTGCAATATTATAATTTTTTTTATGATTTGAATTTTTATATTGTTGTGGTTGAATTAACAATAAAATGTTTAGTGCAATTTGAACTTTTAATTTTTGTCTTATTGTGATTAACTTAACAAAAATATAAGGAATTACCTCTTTATCTAAGCTTTTTTTTAAAAAATAATTTGATGCAGATAAAATAGTAGAAAATAAGACTACATATTTAATTGGTGAGATTTGGGACTAGAGAGGTGACTTGTTTTCAGTTGTCTACTGCCTACTCCCAAGGAATTTTCTATGGAATTGTGGTTCTTGGAAAAATATAATTTGGAGAAGTTTGCATAGAAGGGTATGCAGTCTAGCTCTGCTTTGTAAGTAGATGCGATCAGTGAGTGCGCTCTGGATGAAAAATATTGGTAAAGGTGCATGTTTACCTTTAAATGGTTTAAATTGGCATTGTGATCTTCTAAATGTATTTTCAGAGGCTAATACATAGGTGGATATTTATGACTTTAAAACTACTATTTAGATAAGAGTTAGCATTATTTTGATAAACCTCCTACAAAGAAAACATAGAGAATGATAGAGAACTTTTTAAATATTTGTAGATTTTGAGTTTCTATATTAATCAGCACATAAATGTGTTCTCTTGTGAAAAAATAATAATAATAATAATTTGAATCTCCTTACATGATTATCAAAAGATTAGAGCTTATGTATAAATCATATATCTAATGCAAATGAGGAGCCTAAAGAAATTAGAAAATAGAAAGAGAATTATCTAATTCTGAAATTTGAAATAGAAGCTAATTCAAGTCTGTGAGGGAAAAAAAAATTGAGTACTTTGTATTCCAATTTCTTAATAAGTTCTTATATCACGAACTTATCCGAGACAATATCACTAACTCTTTTTTTTTTTTTTGATAGAAGACAGTATCACTAACTTTAATTAAAATATGTGCCATTGCCACATAAGGTTCCATAAACTGTAACAAAAATCAATTGGCATCATACTTACAGCCGATCACTTTATAATCCAATCATTTTTCGTGATGCATCTATCGTCCTGTTAAAACGCGACTTGTTTTTCTATTTACCACCTACTTAGTACAATAATTTGAGAGTAATAATTAGTGATTTCATCTAAATTATTAAGAATAGACATTTAATAAATTTATTTATTTTAAAATTATTATAAATTAAATATTTAGTAAAAATCTAGCTAGAAACTCAAACTATGGCTAAAGTATTAAGTTGTATATTCTTTCCTAAACTCTAGAACCATGCCCCTACGGGAAATCGTTGATGCAGGAAAAGTTCAGATGGACCCAGTCTTGCAATGTATGGTCCGGAACTTTAGGTTGCGAAAGAGAACTTGCTCCATTAATTCTTCAATATCCAGGCAAGATATTTCCAGGGTAGCCACAACAGTGTACGTTGCACTATTTATAGGGTGCTCATTGGCTTGATATAATTGGTAATAATATAATTATTATATCATATAAAATTATAAATTTATAATTGTTTGCACTTAATTTTATAACAAATAAGACGATGTCATATGTCATTTATGTTTATAGGTATTTTATTGGTTGAAAAGCTATTTTGTTGATGTAGATTTCTTCCGATTAAGGTTCAATGATTATTTCTACAACATCAACAAAGTTGTTTGCTTATTGTGAATATCTAAAAACGTAAACGACAACACCAACAAATTCATTGGTTTGTTACAAATTTCACATTGCCGTTGGTTTTCAAAATGTTGCCATAAATTTTAGTATGACGCTAAGGGGTGTTTGTTTACTACCATAAATATGTGAAGGAAAAACCAAACAAGACAGACCTGCTTCTCACATAACAAGCTTAGCACAATTTCTTTTAATTCTCATATTCATCTTAGTTTTAAGTCCTTTAGTTTAGTTTTAACTCTACGTTTCAATCTAAATTAGTCTTCAACTTTAGTTTAATGTTTTTTACTTTAGAAATTCTAGAAATTAGTTGTAGTTCTCTAAAAAGGCAATTCGGTTTAGTAATGGTAAGATTCATTACCTTCAGTGATATCTTATGTTTCATTTTTATTCATTTATGTTTCATGCTACCAATAGATTTCCCATATTTTTCAGTTTTATTTATTTTAACTTAATTTATTTTTCCACATTTAGATTTCCTTTTTAAAACTCTATTCCAACTCAATTTGCACAATTAAAATTCATTTGATTTAACCAAAATATCTAAATTTACCCCTAAAATATAATAGCAGGGACAGATTTACCTCTGAATAAAAAACGGAGACAAATTCACCCACAAAATTTTCGATTTGGACAAATTACCCTAAGTTTAACGTGTGATATCATTTGACATCAGCAATCCATTAATAATGAACTCATTAGTGACATAATAAATTAATGGATTACTTACGTCAAATAACGTTACATGTTAAATTTAAGGTAATTTATCTAAGTTAAAAACTTTGTGGGTAGATTTGTTCCCGTTTTTTATTTGGGGGTGGATTCATCCTTGCCACTACATTTTTGGGGTGGATTTTGGTATTTTGCTTTTGAATTTTTAGTAGTTTGGTGATTATTTACTTTTTTGCAATCTTAGCTTTTCTCAATTACATTAATTTGGAGAAGTCTTTAGAGTTTAGAGTCATATCCAAGGCTTTTTATGGTATAACCCATTTATTGTAGGAAGATTGTCTCTCATTTCTATCAATTGTTTGATCATTAAGGTACAGTCTATGACATTCTTCTATTAACTCACGATTGAATTTCATATTTGGAAAAAAAAAGAAAGTCATCAAAAAAATTTTTTTTGTTTTAAGTAAAACAAATGATATGGCGTTTTACCTGTCCTGTATGAAGGAGATATTTTGATATAACAATAATCTTAATATATTATTAAATAAATAATATAAATTATATAATGGTACATTAAAATTGTAAACTTATTAGTGTCAATTTATAATCATATACCATTTACTATTCAAAAGGATGATATGCGACATTGATTTGATGAAATGGTAACTGCGAAAATCGGCACTGAACATAGAATAATCACGTTGGCCCAAGCCCAATATAAAAGACTTAATCATCGGTGGACTCTCTGGTACACACGGGCTCAGTTCCTTAGTCATCAGAACCGAAAATGGAACATGTACATATAGACCCAAAAGCAACATGGGCCCTCTTGTATGATAAAAAAACTAAAAAACGCATCGTTCTGTAGATCTTTCTAGAAGCACACTCTTATTTAAATTGAGGAGACCCGTAGAGAGAGAGCAGACCCAAACTCTTAAAAAATAATTATTATTATAACACAGCAAAAATGTTAATATTTTTGCCAATAAAAATAAGAGATAACTGCTAATCACTTTCAAATTCTTAAAAAAATTAAAGTATTGGTTATATTGAGGAATTAAAATTTTAATTAAATAAAATGGTATAATTTAAATTTAATACTTTAATTTATTTTTAAGAGTGATTATTGAAATGTTTTTTTTTAATAAAATAAAAAATAATTTATTTAAGTGCTTAAAAAGTTGAAAATTCCACACAAACCCTTCAACATCCTCATCGATAAAAGCCTCTCCTACCTTCTTCCTTCCAACTAGGATAACACAACCTGGGGCTTTTTAGAAATCTCTAGAACCCGTACCAGTCTTCTATTCTCGCTCTCCAAGGTACGCGATCGTATCTTGTTTCCTGCAATTGCATCATATTTTTCGTGATTTTTGCGTTGGTTTTCAGTACTAGAAATCGTAGATCTGAGAGTTGGTTTATAGATTTAGTGCGTCGACGGTGCAAATCTTTGTAGCTGTTGCATTGTTTTTGGATTGAATTCTGTTCTAGATTTGGTTGTTTCGAGTCGTCTAGGTAGAGATTTTTTAGGTTGTTTTGGTGAGCTGATTGTTCGTTTGATTATGTCTGAATGGATAATTAAACTGCTTTTGTAACTTTTTGATCTGTCACTTGGATTTGATTTTGTTTCGGGCTGATTCAAGTCTAAGAATCGGCGTTTAATGTGATTTTGATCTCATGTTTTACCAGATTCCGCTTCTCGTTTAGGCATTAGGCTCAATAACTGTACATTTATGGCGTTTTAAAGGACTATTGCGTTTGATCATGGAGTTGATTTTTTAAATTTTGGGCTTGGTTTTGTTTGTCTAACCAATAGCTAGCAACGGTTTTACTTTTGTGCATTATTACAAGATTTGTATTTTTTTTTGTTAATGGTTTGGACTCTTCCATGTATAATATGTAAATCATCGATATTTTATAGACAGCTAAATGCAGTCATGCATGCAAAGTGCGCAGTTTCTAGTATCCATTTTTTTTTTTATTATTCAACTAAGTAGGGTGGAAAAGCTTACAGTATTTACTTTGTAATTGGGAGAAACATTGTTACATTTTGTGTGTTATTACTGCATCTTGAATTGATATTATCTGTGGAAGTGTTTTTTTCATTTTTTGCCTGATGTGGATCTCAGTATGCTCTTTTCTCTTCCCTTTCTTTTCTTATATATTGCTAATTCTTTGCACAGGAGCAGACCGATTTTTTTTCAAATAAGTCGGTTAATTTCAAGTGAAGATGAGTGTGGTTGGGTTCGACTTTGGTAATGAGAGTTGCATTGTTGCTGTTGCAAGACAAAGAGGGATTGATGTTGTGCTAAATGATGAATCAAAGCGTGAAACACCAGCTATTGTTTGCTTTGGGGAAAAGCAGCGATTCATTGGTACTGCTGGTGCTGCATCTACTATGATGAACCCCAAGAACTCAATTTCTCAGATAAAGCGGTTAATAGGCCACCAGTTCTCAGATCCTGAGTTGCAAAGGGATCTCAAGTCCTTGCCTTTCAACGTCACTGAAGGCCCCGATGGATATCCATTGATTCATGCCCGTTATTTGGGTGAAATGAGAACATTTACCCCAACCCAAGTTCTGGGGATGGTTTTTTCAAACCTGAAAGGCATAGCTGAGAAGAATCTGAATGCGGCAGTGGTGGACTGCTGCATTGGAATTCCTGTTTATTTTACCGATCTTCAAAGAAGAGCTGTATTAGATGCAGCCACAATTGCAGGGCTGCACCCCCTTCGCTTGATTCATGAAACTACTGCAACAGCACTGGCTTATGGTATTTACAAGACTGATTTACCTGAGAATGAGCAATTAAATGTTGCCTTTGTTGACATTGGACATGCAAGCATGCAAGTGTGCATTGCTGGTTTTAAGAAGGGCCAGCTGAAGATACTGTCCCACTCATTTGACCGGTCTTTGGGTGGGAGGGATTTTGATGAAGTTCTATTTCAGCATTTTGCTGCAAAATTCAAGGAAGAATACAAGATTGATGTTTTCCAGAATGCAAGGGCATGTCTAAGGCTTCGTGCTGCCTGTGAGAAGCTGAAGAAGGTCCTCAGTGCCAATCCAGAGGCTCCTCTGGGCATTGAGTGCTTGATGGATGAGAAGGATGTTAGAGGTTTTATTAAGAGGGAGGAGTTCGAACAGATCAGCATCCCAATATTGGAACGCGTGAAGAGGCCATTGGAGAAGGCTCTTCAAGATGCTGGGCTCGCTGTTGAAGATGTTCACGTGGTTGAGGTGGTTGGCTCAGCCTCTCGTGTTCCTGCCATCATCAAGATTTTGACAGAGTTCTTTGGTAAGGAGCCTAGGCGTACAATGAATGCAAGTGAGTGTGTGGCAAGAGGCTCTGCCTTGCAATGTGCCATTCTTAGCCCAACCTTCAAAGTACGAGAGTTTCAGGTAAGGCCCTGAAGTTATGATTATTTAGGTTTTTGATGAGTGTATCTGAGGTTCCATGAATCACTGGCTGTTACATGTTAGCATATTAATCTTTACTGTTGTGATGCTTGCTTTAATAGCTAGTTGCCTTTTGGGTTGCAAGTGCATCATTCATCTCCACTTAAATGGTTATGAACATGTATACTTTACTATGTTTGTTGAATCATTGAATTTCGTGTCCCCTTTTCTATTAACACCAGCTTGCTTCTTTTTTTTCTTTTTTTCTTTTTTTTTTGGAGAGGTGATTTTGGGTTGGAAAGAAGTAAACTTCTAGGGATAACTATCTACGTTTAATAAGTTCAATATAGATCACTGTTGTGTTGAGAGACAGGTTCACAAGCTTTCTTATCTCTTCTTTGTGTTACCCCTTCTCTTGTCTATGTGAGATTTTGTCCTTTTGGTGCCGTTATTGGTCATATTTTGTTAAGTCATCATCAGATCACTATGCCCATGGTTCTCTCTCTTTCTCTCTCTCTCTCTCGTGACAATTGTTTTGCTTTTTTCTTGGAGTTGGATTTTTCATTTGAGGTACAGTAGACGCCTGGTGTTTGCTTTCTGTTCAACTGATTGTACACCTTTATTCCTATGACTTTAAGGTCAATGAGAGCTTTCCTTTCTCGATTTCTCTGTCATGGAAAGGATCAGCTCCAGATGGTCAGAATGGAGGAGCTGAACAGCAACAATTGGTCTTCCCAAAGGGAAATCCAATACCAAGTATCAAGGCTGTTACATTCCATAAGACGAGCACATTCACCATTGATGTTCAATATGCTGATTTGAGTGAATTGCAAGCACCTGCAAAAATAAGTTCATACACGGTATGCTAAGTTTCTAACTTCAAATTTCAAAATCGAATAATTTTAAGTATGGTATGAAAGTTCCCTGTTTAGTATTTTGATCTTTAAAGTAATCTATAAGATTCTTGTTAATTGGCAGATTGGTCCTTTCCCAACTACAAGCAGTGAAAAGCCAAAACTGAAGGTCAAAGTTCGCCTGAATCTGCATGGGATTGTATCTGTTGAGTCAGCAACAGTAAGTTCTTGGAATTTTTAATTGCATTGAAATGGTTCTTTCTGTGGGCTCTTTCTCAATGACCTTCATTTGTCTTTAGCTCTTAGAAGAGGAAGAAGTTGAAGTTCCAGTCTCAAAAGAGCCAGCTAAGGAAGGTTCAACAATGGAGACTGATGAAGCTCCAAGTGATGCTGCTCCTCCAAGCACCAATGAGGGTGATGTTAACATGCAAGATGCTAAGCCAGCAGCTGATGCACCAGGGATTGAAAATGGTGTTCCTGAGTCTGATGAAAAGCCTGTGCAAATGGAGACTGACAGCAAGGTAAGCTTTAAATTCTGAAATGAAAGCTTATCCCTCTAAGCACTGTGGCCATCTTTTTCATCCTTTGGTCTCTTTTGTTGCTAACATTTCATATTGCAACAGGTTGAAGCTCCAAAGAAAAAGGTGAAGAAAACAAATGTCACTCTGTCAGAGTTGGTTTATGGTGCACTATCACCTGGAGATTTGCAAAAGGCAGTTGAGAAGGAGTTTGAAATGGCTTTGCAAGATAGGGTTATGGAAGAAACTAAGGACAAGAAAAATGCTGTTGAGGCTTATGTATATGACATGAGGAATAAGGTAAAAGGCTGTTGATTAACTAAATTAGGTTGAAATTCTAGCATTGTTCTTAAGTCTTAAAACTGACAATCTCTTTGCATTTCCAGCTAAGTGACAAATATCACGAATTTGTCATACCTCAGGAGAAGGAAGAGTTTATGGCTAAGCTTCAGGAAGTGGAGGATTGGCTATATGAAGATGGTGAAGATGAAACCAAAGGCGTCTACATTGCTAAGCTTGAGGAGCTTAAGAAGGTAGCTTTGTGTGTGTGTGTGTGTTGGGTTTTTTTTTTTTTTTCTCCGGCAAATATCACTTTGCCTGATCTCTGCTTCTGGAAATAATACTCGTCTGGGTTGTATAAATTGCATATCTAATTGGCATTTGAATTATTTCAGCAAGGTGATCCCATTGAACAGCGTTACAAGGAGTACTCTGAGAGGGGATCTGTCATTGATCAGCTTGTTTATTGCATCAACAGTTATAGAGAGGCAGCCATGTCAAATGATCCCAAATTTGATCACATTGAGCTGGCTGAAAAGCAAAAGGTAAAATCAACTTGTGACTTCCCATCTCTATTAGATTTCTCTTGTCTACACCCTAGAAGATAAATTTGGAAAAAAACAACCCATCCAATTTTTGGTGGAAAATTTTTTAGGTGTTGAATGAGTGTGTGGAGGCTGAGGCCTGGTTAAGAGAGAAAAAGCAGCAGCAGGATCAACTTCCCAAGCATGCCATGCCAGTTCTCTTGTCAGCTGATGTGAGAAGAAAGGCTGAAGCATTGGACAGGTAAATATATTCATCAGACTATGGTTTTATTTTGTTGTTTAGTTACTCTAGCATACAATTGCATGCTTGATTTTGTTAATTTATTTCCCTATAATGTTGAGAGTATCTCTTTCTCCCTCTTTTCTACTCAATCTTAATACAAAATTAGACAGGGTGCTGAGATTTGAATTTTGTCTTTTGACAGGTTTTGCCGTCCTATAATGACAAAACCAAAGCCAGCCAAACCAGCAACGCCTGAAACACCTGCAACCCCACCTCCGCAGGGAAGCGAGGCGCAGCAGCAGGGTACAGATGCTAATGCCAATGCTAGCCCCAATGCCAGTGAGAATGTGCCAGCGGGCAGTGATGATGTACCTCCTGCTTCGGTGGAACCAATGGAAACTGACAAGTCGGAAACTACTAGTGCCGCATAATTCATTACACGTTGGAATGGTTTGTCATGGCATGCTGTTAAAAATATTGTTCCTATGTATACGAACTATTTTTAGAGAGAGCCTGAGATCAACTCCCTGGCAGGCTGACATGAGAGGCTACGCTGTTTGGGTACTTAAACGGTTATTTTCAATTTGTAAAGCCTATTGTTTTGGGTTGTCTGCCAAACTTTTATTAAGGGTGTCTCTAGGGTTTGGGTTTTCACAAGAGGTCCTTTAGGAGAAAATACCGCTAGGGTTCCTCGCCAACATTTTTCGGTTGGTTAGGAAACCGAATTTTACTCTGAAAGATTTGAAGTGTTTATGTCATTTATTTTAGTTGGATTTTCTCTATTTGAATTCGAATCTACTTCAATTAATGCTCGCTTTGTATCTTAATGTTATTCTTACTTATGGTGGGAAGTATGATCTTTCATGCTCTCAATACCTGTAGAACAGGGTAATTCTTATGGTGCATGTTAAGACGACAAAAGTAGCTCCAAGTAGATTCTTTGCTCAATGAATGCGGTAACCAAGAAGGGTGAGGAGTTGACATGATCCTTGGGCTCTAGGCGGAGTGGCAAAAGAAATCCAAATCGAAATCCTACTAATTTTACCAATTAGGGATTAGCTGGATTAATATTCATTGACTATAAAATCTTGATTTGAATTCTATATTAGGAATTCCGAGAACTCTTATACCAGCTAAATATCCAATGTAACCGAAAAAAAACCCCACCAGTCCCATTACCCTCCCTTCCCTTTTATCCCTCTAGGGAAATGAATTACCTCTCCTTATCTATCTCTATGTTTAGATTAAAAGAAATTAGAAAAAAAAAGGAGAGAAATATTTTTTAACTAGTCAAATTATAATATTTTAACATATAATTTAATTAATTAAAACATTTTTTTCTCCCTTCCATTTCTCTCGGCCCAAACTTTTTAGAGTAGCAGTGAGTAATTGCCTTATTTCCGGAAAAGAAATTGTAATATATTGACCCCAAATATCAAGCTTAAAAATAAACGGAAAAAGCCCATGTTGAGGCCAACTAGATAAGTTCTCCTATGAGTTTTATCGCAAAAGCCTCGTTTTAACTTTTTATCTTATTTGATTTATTGATTTTAATCCATCATATTTTTAGCCTTTACTTATTAAAATTAAAAAAAATAATCATCACTTATAACATTTTATTAGTTTTATTAACTGATTATTAATTCTATTAATTGATTATTATTTGACTGTTAACTAATAAAAATTTAATTTCAATTAATAGAGTTAACAAAAAATTAACAGAATTATTTTGTTAATTGACTGTTAACTCTATTAATTGACTATTAATTGATTATTAATTGATAAAAATCTACTTTTAGCTAATAGAATTAATAGTTAATTAACAAAATTAATAATTAATTAACAAAACTAATGAAATATAATAAAGTGAAGGTTATTTTCTTTGATTATAATAGATAAGGGGTTAAAAGTATAATAGTATAAGATAAGGGGTTAAAACCTATCAATCTAGTAAGGTAAAGGCCTTAAACTAGGTTTTTGCCGAGTTTTATCAGCTCCAAGGCTTCCAATCGGTGCCTGTGTTCCGCCTCAATCCAATTCATCTTAGTTGCTTATTCTTCCCTTTCACTCTAAAAAGGGTATTGATTTTTCTTAATTTTTCAGAAGATTGTTAACTGCAATTGTAAATTTCTGTTTGCAGCGACCAGCAAAAGAACGTTGCTTCTGCTGTTGAGCCCAATCGTTCCAGTTCGTCATAATTACAGTCGTTTTCCCAACCGCTTGAAGTTTAGTTTTGATATGCAAAGTTGGAAGTGGTCGACAGAGATGATTCTCGGATCGATTGCTTGGAAGCGATCCATATCTAGTTTGCCTCACCTCTGTGAGAGAATTAAACAAACAGGTAATGTGCATTATTGTATGTGTTAATTGCTTTTCTTTCTTTGTATCTTTTTCGTTTTCTCAATTGCTTGAATCCATTTTTATGTATGGAGTGAAATGGGTTTGTCCATTAAATTTAAAAAATGATATCTTGGTAAAAGTTAAATTTTTCTGTATATAATTTGGTGGGTTTACTTTACCGTAACAGAGAATGAGATAGTTCAAATGTTCCAGTTGCCTGGTCCGAGAAATGGGGTGCAGAACTTTCCCGTGAATGGGAAGCCACCAAGGAAGAACCTTTCAGTTCGGACATTGGATGAGAGATTTATAAGGATTTTGAAGATATTCAAGTGGGGGCCTGATGCAGAGAAGGCATTGGAAGTCCTAAAGCTGAAGGTGGATCATCGGTTAGTTCGTGAAGTTTTGAAGATAGATGTAGAGATTAATGTTAAAATCCAGTTCTTCAAGTGGGCTGGGAAGAGAAGGAATTTTCAGCACGACTCCACAACCTTTATGCCTTTAATCCATTGCTTGCATGAGGCTGGACTGGTTGGTGAGATGTGGAAGACAATCCAAGAAATGGTTAGGAGTCCTTGTGCTATTACTCCAGTTGAATTGTCTGAAATTGTGAAGTTATTGGGTAGGGCTAAGATGGTGAACAAGGCACTGTTCATCTTTTATCAGATCAAAGGTCGCAAGTGCAAGCCAACAGCAAGCACTTATAACTCTATGATCTTGATGTTGATGCAAGAAGGTCACTATGAGAAAGTCCATGAGCTCTACAATGAGATGTGCAATGAGGGTAATTGTTTTCCAGACACAGTTACATACAATGCACTCATATCATCCTTTGAGAAGTTGGGCCGTGATGATTCTGCAACTAGGTTGTTCGATGAGATGATGGAGAATGGCTTGCAGCCTACAGCAAAGATTTATACAACACTAATAGGAATTTATTTCAAGTTGGGTAAGGTTGGCAAAGCTTTGGGTCTATTTCATGAGATGAAAGTTAAAGGTTGCATTCCAACTGTATTTACTTACACTGAATTGATAAAGGGGCTTGGAAAAGCTGGGCAGGTACAAGATGCTTACACCATGTTCATGAATATGTTAAAAGAGGGTGTAAAGCCTGATGTTGTGCTCATCAACAATCTGTTAAACATTTTGGGAAAAGCAGGCAGATTGGATGATGCTTTTAAGCATTTCAATGAAATGAAGTCTTGGCAGTGTGAACCAAATGTTGTGACTTACAATACTCTAATCAAAGCTTTATTTGAATGCAAAGCTCCAGCTTCTGAGGCACCTTTGTTATTTGAGAAGATGAAGACCCAGGGTATTGTTCCCAGCTCATTTACTTATTCAATTCTTATTGATGGTTTCTGCAAGACCAATAGAGTTGAAAAGGCCTTGTTCCTATTTGAAGAGATGGATGAAAAGGGCTTTCCTCCTTGTCCTGCTGCATATTGTAGTCTGATCAATAGTCTTGGAAAAGCAAAACGATATGAAGCTGCTAGTGAGTTATTTCAGGAACTGAAAGAGAATTGTGGACGTTCAAGTGCCCGGGTATATGCAGTTATGATCAAACACTATGGGAAGTGTGGCCGTCTTAGTGATGCTATGGACCTTTTTAACGAGATGAAGAAACTGGGTTGTAATCCAGATGTTTATGCTTATAATGCACTCATGTGTGGAATGGTAAGGGCTGGCATGATAGATGATGCTTATTCCCTCCTCAGAACCATGGAAGAAAATGGCTGTGCTCCAGACTTAAATTCACATAATATTATTCTGAATGGCTTAGCTAGGACAGGTGGCCCAAATTGGGCTATTGAAATGCTTGCTAAGATGAAGAATTCTAGAATTAAGCCAGATGCTGTGTCTTACAATACTGTTCTTGGCTGTCTTAGCCGAGCTGGTATGTTTGAGGAGGCTGCAATGCTTATGAAAGAGATGAAAGAAAAAGGTCTTGAGTATGATCTTATTACTTACTCATCAATACTTGAGGCAGTTGGCAAGATTGATGAAGATCATCATAATCTTACCTCTCTTTGACATGGTTCTGGATTTTCTGGTATGAGATAAAACATTCCCTATATATGTTACTTTTTGTTGCGCTCTTCCCTGCAATTGAGCATTTTTTTATTGTTGTTTGTTGCAAACTGTTGTTCTGTTTTCTTGCAGAGCATGATGTCATTCTTCTTAGCTATTCTTTTCTGAACAGCTATTTGACCTTGGCAAATAGTTTGGGATTTGCTGATCTATCTTATGTACTTCAATAACCAGTCTGCAGAAGGGAGTCATGGGACCATGTGAGATTCCCTTTTTTTTTTTTTAACAGAGTTGTGGTTTTCTTATTCTAAGATGACTAATACGTTATTTGTTTGTCAGGCATCTGAAGGTGTAATTATGGTTGGGGCATCTGATGGTCTGATTATGGTTGGGAATTCAAAATAGGCAACCAGAACCCATTGTGAGAGCAGAGGTTCTGCTAAACTACTGAAGTGGAGAAGGTGAATTGTTGCAAGAAAGTTCAAGACCTAATTTATCTACTGGAATCCCTCCAAAGATCTCATCATATCTTGTGATGGCAGGGTGGCTTTCTGGCCCAGTATTCATTGCTTTCGGGAATTAGTTCTTAGTTGCTGAGATTAGATAATCAAATAGTGAGGGTTCTGCAGGAGCCTCAATAGCTCAGACTTAGGCACTGGCTGGCACTAGACACTCGACATTTTGTGCTTCAATTATGAAAAGTTACTATAGAAATCTAGGAAAACATTGACACCATTGCTTTTGTTACAAGTGGTAGAGAAAAAGGGGGAAGTGATGGGAGTGGGGGCCGCGAGGGGGAAAGTTGATTTAAATTAGTTGCCCATGAATGCTCAAAGCAAATAGATGCAAAGTAGAATTATATGAAAATGATAATCATTCTTCCAAGTTACCCATAGGCATTTCATTTCACTTCTTGCATTGTGACATAATTGAATGAAAGTGTTAATTCTTTGCCTTGAGATTTGCAACAAATAAGGATATAATCTTTCAAAAATTTCCTTTGCCTTCAAATGGAACTTACCATGGCTATTACAACCCTCATTTCAACTTTAGTTAGCTTAATGTTTTTTGTCCTAAAAAAAGAATGTAATAACTGATTAATTAAATTTCATATGTATCCTTAAATAGCCACGACCTAAATAAGTATTTAAGCATGCTTTAGGCATTACATGACATCTTCGATTATATAAGCGGATAACTAAATTTGAACATTTTAAATTAAAAAGTAGAACAACTAGAGTTGAATGGAAGTAGTTTATAATTTGCCTGTTGCCTTGCCACAAATGCAATAACTAGATTTTGCATTTGCGGCAGCCGGATCATGTAAAACTGATCATCCAATGGCAATATCAAGAATGGAAAAGGAGAAACAAGATTCCACAAGAACTGTAAGAGTGACTTGCGTAGTAATGATCTTCTTTAATTTCAGTTTAAACTCCTCCCATAACTGATACCTCTAGGGTATTATTGCTCAACAGATTTAAGGGCTGAATGCCTCAACATTATATGATACAACATTTAGCAGTTATGAATCAACATCTAATTATCAGTGGAGAAGAGACATTCCCGTTACATGTATTACCCACTGGCATTCTCAGCAGAGATATCATTCTCCTCATCAT